TGTCCATAACGACACTGAAAGCTTAACAATTGAGACATCTAGCAAAAAGATCCCAACACCAGCAAAACCATCTGCCTGAGCTTCAAATCTTCTCTATAATTCTAGTAATATATATTCATAAAATAATCACATGAAATAAATGTATCATAGCTTAGTGATTTTCATTATTACCTTCCAGATTATTTTCAATTTAAGTGTGGTGTGCCTTTGAATTTTTTTCGCTGAAGAAGTAGAGTAGGAAGAAAGTTAAAGTGTATTGATTATGCTTAGCAGCTGTAAATTATTATACATTCTATTTAAATTTTATTGAGTTATGGACAAAGAAAGCCGGCCACTATATGATAAGCAGCTAAATTTTAAATATATTTTCAGCAGATCTCTTAGTGTATTATAGTGTAAAATAGGGAAACTGTTTCAGAATAATGTGTCGTTAATAGAACTGTATGAACTTATATGGGAAAATCTGTAGTTTTTTTAATTTTAAAAGACATGCAGACTATTTTTGGATAGGTTGTATAAATATCAAGCAGTTGAAGAAGTTTACAAGAATCCCCGAACATTCGTGCCTAGTAGGTGTCGATGCATTGTCGAGAGGATTGATGCTCTCTAGCTGAATCGAAACCGAGTGGACCATTTTCATAGCATAAAATATTACTGCCGATCTATTTAGGCAGTAACCGATCTCTCATAGGACTGAGATGTCTACAGTTTACTAAACAACTACAGATATACCTTGCTGGAGAGTGTCAACTAGCATGAAACTTTATTCCGATGTTTCCTGTTCACTATCTCCAACTGCGTAACATATCAAAATTATTCACGAGACGTTGAGTGATTTCAACTAGTGGCGAAACTGCAATTTAATCAACGGAATTACGTTAGGACTCGAGGAAATGACAGAGATGACAGTTTTTACTACTCATTGAACAGTCAATTTTTTATTTCGTAAACTGTTATATCACCCACTTTTAGAACATTCAACTGTTTGTCTCAGTTTACCAATGATATCTGATATCTTTCAATCTATTATCACATTAGAAATCGATACTAAAATAAAAGTCATGGAAATTGAGCAAACATTATATAGATATATGAAAACATATCAAAACTACATCTCAAGTACTAGTAGGCTGCAAAAATAATACAGAACCAAATCAAGGGTATAAAGACAGCAGGATGACCCTTCGTTTAGCAATACATAAGATACATTTTTATCCAATTTTACTTATCATTGGCAAAACAAATTTACTCAAATAAAAGTTAGAATTTTCATGTCAAGTGAAGTCTGATTTGACTCTCGATAACTTCATCCTGTCATAAAAAGCTTCTAATTTCGGTAAGTTTTACACAAAATAAGTTTATATATAAGTGACTGAATCATCAGGCTGACAGCATGACATGGCATATGTGAGAAAATATATGTATCATGTAAGCATTGAAGTAAATACAAGTATACACCATGAGCTTACAAACTAGTAGGTAATGTATGAAAACACTCAGTGGCTGAAGAACGCTCTGAGGGGAGCTATATATATATATATATATGTAACTTATATTGTTATACTAAATTGAAAATAAGAGTTTAACTTATTATTTATGTTTATATTGTGCATAAATGCGTTTATCATTAAAACATATTTCAAATTTAAACAAAAAAAGATAGTTAATTTATTAGATGAAAACAAAATTAAATCGACAAACGTTTAAATATAACAAACGAACAAACAAACAAGTAATAACATTAATCATATGCAATTTCAGAGTAACGCTGACATTGAAAATTGATCAGATTAAAATTATTTTTTCCATAATTAATATAGTATCTGATTAGTAGAAATTAGTTCCTAATTTGTTTGTTCTCCATTTCACTGTAAATTAAATAAATCAATGTGTAATGGATGATGTTTTATTTTCTTTAAAGGAAACAATTAGTTGAATTTTTTTTTAATGCTCTAAAAAATTTCATTAAAAAAAAGAAGAAAATAAGTAAGCACATTTATCATCAAATCAACAGACCTTAGTTTGTTTTCTCTAAATTTTACCAATTAAAAAACCATTATAAATAATATTAGATTGTGTATAAAATAGTAATGATAATATCATTGACTGTGAAACTTAGATGAATTCCTACTACAAGCATCGATTTCCTCGAAGATTCGAAATATTAAGAGCTGACTAGTGAAAACTTGCATGTTACTTAAATCGACAGTTTTCTTAATTGCTCACAAATGTATGCGATACATTTAAAATAGGGTTTTAGCTGTGAACAGCTGTTGTTTTCTTTTTACTAATGAACACATAACTACGTGATACTTTTCAGTCATATGAGAATAAAGTTGGTGGAAATTCATTTGTCTAAAATTCAAATATACTGATAGCTTAACAAGTGAAAACAAGAGTCAGTATTGCAAAACATTGAATGAATGTAAAACTATAAACTTGGCGGATGGAATAGCGAACAAAATGATATGACTATATATACAAATTTAAGAATAGAAGTCGAGTAAAAATGTTTAATTATATGATGATCACTTATCTGAAATGTCCTAGTCATACCAACACTTTGTTACGTAATCGATGTATGCCATATTTTCTGATTACTTATTGAACTTCTATCTTGGGAGTAAAATTTATGATCGAACAACAGATTGTTAACACTACATTCTTTGATTTTGATTTGTGTTAAATAACACATATTCTTAAAATACTAGTATTGTGTACTAATTATGGTTACAAGAATTTATATTAAAAACGTTATATGAAGTTGACTAGTCATTTTGTTACACTGCTAACGTCTTTCTTAGACTATGAGATCTTTGAGTGACCGTCTCTTTATATATTGATTTTAGCCATAAATTCACTCGATTTTTCGTGTGTTTATTTTAAAAGTTAGTCAGTTGTTTGTCTACCTTCATTCTGAATAAAATAATATCTACGTCTTGGATATGATTGATAGCCAATGACCAAATTATTACTTACTTACTTACACCTGTTACTCCTAATAGAGCATAGGCCGCCGACCATCATTCTCCAACCCACTATATTCTGGGCCTTCTTTTCTAGTTTTTACATCTTTCAAATCTCCGTCAATTTTGATTGGATTGGTGCATGTTGTGTTGTATCGGAGAATTTTGCTTCTCCCTTGTGTATGTTGAGACCTACTGCTGCTGAGGCTGCTGCTGAGGCTGCTGCTACACTGGTCGTCTTCTCCTGCATTTGTTGTTGCGTTTGCGATAGGAAGACCAGATCATCTGCAAAGTCTGGATCGTTTTGAACACTACTCAAATATCTCGAATATTTGAGTAGACTGATTCGATTTTAGTCCTGAATATCAACAACAGTGTCTTGAACAAACTTCTTACACTTATATGAATCAAATTCCATTTTAAATCAATGTCTCGTAGTAAATTCAAATTTGTTGTTACTGCTAACCATTGTCTGTAATCATGAGAAAAAAATCTATGTCTTACGAAAATTATAGTCATTCCGTTTTGCCGAAAATATTGAATATTTATCTGTTTAGTAACCCAACAATAGTTTCCACTAAAACTACTATCTTTAATTACATCACCACAGGTGTTCGGTAATCATTTTCTAAGTTTATATGATTGATATTATTTGAATTATTATCTTGTCTTATTCATGATTAAAGTCTGATTTAGATATTTAGAAAAAAACAAAAACGTTTACTTTTTGTTAGACGTTTAATTACAGTTGATTTCATTTAAATCAAGATACAATGATTAACATTTAATGTTATATAATAATTACTAAGTTGGATCAGTAGAAGTATTTGGAATAATTTGAGATAACCTAGCATTAATAACTATAAGCATCTTATAGAATGGATAAAATTAGCTAGCAATTAACACTGTGTTTCGTTCTAGTTTGATTGAAGTAACCAATATGTTATAAAGTACATACTGAAATTGATTAATAATGAAGTTACTGAAAACAGCTGTTCATTGAAGCATTCCTTGTTTCTAAAAATCTCTATTTTCGATTGCATTCAGCCTATTTATTCACAATTTTTGAAATTTTAAAATAAATAGTACTGAAATAATGACTAGCAATCAGTTTCAAAATCTGTTAAGTCGATGGAATGATGCTCTAGTTTTGTTTTTCTATCAATCGTGAACTTTACACTACATTCATACAAAATGGTCCGTTGGCCATTTAATAATAATAAGGATGTTTTTTATTCAGTATAGACCAACTAAGCACATAACTTCTTGGTGTAACGGTATTTGTTAAAGAGTAGTTGTTCTCCAAAGAGATGTTAGCAAGCTGACGATATTCATTGGGGATTAAATACATTTGAAGGTAAGTATTTGAACAAATTTGAGTTGTACCACAATAACTGCATGGAATCCAATTTAGTATGCTGCGAAAATGTGGCAGTGATTTATTTTTTTAACTAATGGTCCTCGATGCTTTTCATATCTCGACCAAACGAATTAAATAAATGCTGAAGGAAAAAATATTGTAACCTAAACCTTTCAATGAAGCAAGGTTGGAGCTTGTTTAACCTGAGTCTTCTTGAGGAGTTACATACATAAATGTCTTTGAGCGCGTTCAACGTTTTCAGCTTCGAAAATTAATAGAAAGTTTTCATGAGAAGATATCAGTGAAATATTTTTTGAAAATGATTTACTTGCTTCACAGAAATTCAAGGTTTTCAAAAGGGAGTTTTCTTTTGCATTTCATTCACGAAAATATCTTAGTTTCAATTAATAACTGATCACTTACTCACTTAGTTATCTAATACCATCAAGTTTTCGAAAGTCTCATCTTTTCAACAGTTTGCAGAAAATTCGTGTTCAAATTTAATTTCAACTCAAGCACAACATTATTTTTCAGTCAAAGTAGTTTTTGTATTTTAACTAACATTTTAATTTTCCCTGTAAAAAACCTTTAGTATTAACAAATTTTATCACTTTGTTTCTATTTGAACTCCCTAACTATAATTGATTTCAATCGTTCATTTGTTTATCTTACAGATATAACATCACAACCGTATTTGATTCGGTTCCAACTGGCAGTCTAGCACCAGATAGTAAGTAAAGGTGATTTTCTGTATTATTTTATAACTTCATAGCAAATAGAGTGACAAAAATGACTTATCCAGTGTTAAAACTGATTAAAAAAGGATTATAGAATAGGAATGAACCAAAAAAGAACTGTTACACATTTTAACAAATTGCCAGTCAGTCAAGAAACAGCTCTAGTAAATCAGCTGGGTTTTTTTAATAAAATGGACAGTAACACTATAAAAGATAGACTTAGCATAAATAATCAATCCACTAGAACTTCTAACAGGTTGTTTTATCTTTAATTAAGAAAAACATAGATATATAAGTTGATTTATACAAATATAGACTATCTGTCTTCTGAAACATTTAAAAGGATGCAGATGGATTTCTACGAGTTCACACGTTGTTACGACTACAGATTTAAGATTATGTGTTAAGGATTAAGTATTTAGGGCTATTATTTAATAAAAGGGTTAGTTTGCATGTTTTATGCAATTTGTTCAGGATGAATTGACCATATGATGCATATAATCTTATCGATTGTATTCTATGATAGTAAAAAGTAATTCTGTGTCATCATTTTACAAATTTTGACAAGCAAACAAAAGTATATCTACTAGCTGTTTGATGTAATATGAGATAAAAGTTATGTATCTCAGACTTTATAGGGAAAACGAGCAAATCATCTCGATTTTGACTGGTTCATCTCGATACTATAATTCTATTAAAGAAAAAAAAAGAAAAAAAGTATAATTAAAATGATTAAATTAAGATGTGCTATCTAGATTTAAGTAGTATTGAAAAACAAAACAAAAAATAATAATCATAAGAAATATTACTTTATATAGTGAATAATAAATCAATGTATATCAGCGTATATTCTTAAATCATTTGAAATATCGATTTATTTATGGACATTTTTAATCAATTACTTGAATTTGATTGGTTGATTTTTTTGTTGGATATTATTATATGGACATAATATAATCGTAATTACTATTACTTCTTTAAAAGTACAATTTTAAAACGGTAAGACAATATGATTAGGGTGAATATATTTTCTAAAAAATAACAAATAAATAAAATACAAAGTTCATGAAAAAAGAATCAATGATATTCTGTTTTAGAAAAAGAAAAAGGAAAAAAGAAGAGATTATTTCATTATGATTTATATCTACGAAATATCCATTTAGAACTTTCAATATATATATTATTATTATTATTTGTATTTACATGAATTCATAAGTCATTCAAGGAGATATATGTAAACAACTAAAGTTTATCATAAAAAGGATTATTAATTATTGTTTGATTAAAATAACTGTTAGTTATTTGCATAACTGATTAGGCGATTAAATGTATTAATATGGATTCCTTTCTATTTTTTTTTTACAAAAAATGAGGCGAAATAAAATGAACTAGAGAAAAAAATAACAAAGAGGAAAGGAAAAAACGATAATTTTGCTCCCTAGCTATCTATAACATGTTTACTGTATATATACATATATGAGCGAACAAATTTAAGTTCATTTATTTGTATTTTACATTGATTTTAAACTAGGAAACTGTTTGCTGAATAAATAAAAAAAGAATATAATGACAAACAATATCGAAAGCACGAAAAAATAATGAATTTTTGAATTTTTTTTAAAAAAAAAATAATTAAGAATGTTAGTAACCAAATCAAGTCACGCAAACACATTGAGTTATTTCTGTGACTTTTAATACAAAAACAAAGAGTAGAATAAAAATGTTTAAAATTATTTCATTCATTAATTCACATACATGTTTATTTTTAAAAATAAAATCAGATAAGTTAAAATTGAATGAATATAAGCGTATTATTTAAATTGCATAAATCTGTGTTTGCCCTAATGATTTGTAAAGTGATTTTACTAGAAAAAACCGGAATGTTTTTTTGCATAACTAAAAAAATTATCAGAATGCGTTTTGTGGAGTTTTAGAAATTTCACAGGTTGAAATCATGAGTCGATTGAAGCTAGACTACCATGGAAAATCTGGAAGCACTGGACGTTACCAGTGGAGTTCAACCAGGTCTGTTGTGAGATAGGAACTCACTGAAAACAATGGTGTACGGTGGCGCAACTTCGTGGATTGGTTGAAGTTAGACATTAACACCGTTGGATGCCGGCTCAGTGGTCTAATGGTTAAGTGCTCGCGCGCGAAGCAAATAGGTCCTTGGTTCGAGTCCCGCGTGATGCTGGATCGTGGATGCGCACTGCTGAGGAGTTCCATACTAGGACGAAGTGGCCGTCCAGTGCTTCCAGGTTTTCCATGGTGGTCTAGCTTCAATTGACTCATGATTTCAACCTGTGAAACTTAAAAAATTAGTTTCTATGGTTAAATATGAAAAAAATCAATAGTGAGCACCCTCAACTGTATCAGAGACCAGATTCAAAATCTCTACATTCTGGTTCATATTATGAACCTGAAACGATTTGAGACATTATGTGATTATCGTTTATTAATATCGACGGTGCAAGTCTTAAACACGGTATGACTAAACTTCTCTAGTCACGAGATCTCATTAAAAATTCATCAAAATTTAATTTCTTACCTTTTATGTGATTATCTTCATAACATGTTGTTTCTAATTTATATTGACAAAGAATGATGAGTTAAAGAAAAAAGTGATCACTCAGTTAGGACAGGACTAGTTAGAAGTAATGATATACATTGTTTTCTTTCCATTTACTGCACGTTGCTATGACGAAAGTTTTAAATACGTTTTCAGGCTATTATTTAGTGTTATTGAAATAAACTGATCTAAGTCAGACAAACGTTGAAAATCTAAAAGCACTTTAAGTGTTATGTCTTATCGTCCGTTGAATATCATGTGACAAAATCGTCAATAAGATTATCACTTTCTATGACCTTGTCTTCGTGCTTCACCAATTACACGTCAACTAGCACCAGAAGCCTTGACTCAACTTTGAGTCCGTAGTGATCCTGAAAATAGTAATTTTTCGTGTAGCTCAACCTGTCCAGTTCAGAAAATAAATATCAGCCTCCGTTGTGTAAATCATACATTTCAGACATACGTGGTTCATATACAAGTAGACCAGACCGCATCACACAATAAAATTAAAAATACTGATTATACATGGTTGAGCCAAAAGTGGCTGTGAGTACAAGAGACTGTAATTAACAGATTGAAAATACATTGAGAATAGTGTATCATATATTACTAGTCCATAGGTCAAGTGATAGCTCATGATAATAAAAATTTGAAGATATATGTAATCTAGTTACTTAATTATTATCTAATAAGAATATATATAATGATAGTCACCATTCATTCGCTCTTCATTCAGATACAACAGGATGGCCATAGGTAGGTTAGTCATTAAACCATTAGATAGCGACTCAGTGGTCTAGATTTTAAGCGCTTCCGCGAAACCGAAGTTCCTGGCCTTGAGTCTCGCGTGCGGAATCGCAGATGCGCGCTGCTGGAGAGCCTAATACTAAGACAAAGAGGCAGTCCAATGCTTTTATGTTTTTAATGGTTATTTTACTTTGGTTCGGCATTTCAATAAAATTTAACAATATCCACTACTTATACAGATTGTTATTATTATTATTATCATCAATAATCTGATTGGTGTAAGAGCTTCTTTTTAATAACTACCATCAATTTAATGGCTTCTTCAATCCTAATTATAACAGTTAACATATTTTTTTTCTACATCATGGTCTCTATCTTCCGCAATTATTTCTTTGATCTATAAATTGGAGTTTTATGCATGTGAAAAGTAACTAAATTTATGATTCATTAATCAATTAAACGACTTTGTACTAGTTACACAAGGAATTAAATTTACAAAATGTATCATTTGTTTATTTCGATCAGTGTGTATGCAGAAGATTTAAGGCAGACGAAATAAAAAGATAAATTCATCTAAATTGTGTTTGTCTGTTGTTCTTGCTTTGCATAAAAGAAGTTATATTATTGTAAACTGACTTTCATAGTTTAGTGTTTTACAAATTCAGTGAATCCATGACATTTGTCGTTCCTTTACACGCTATTAAAATGTTACTTAATTCAAAGAAAATTCTCAACAATAGTAAGTTGCTTCTATACTATACACTGATAATAAGCGGTAGAAATATATTCACAATATATACCTCCTTCGGTTTGGACTCCCGGGCAATATTGCAGCCCTCACGTATATTGAATGACTCGTGTGGCGCATATATATTTGAAGCCTTCTTGTACAAATATGTATGTTGATGTTAGACAGCAACACCATTGGATGTCGGCTCAGTGGTCAAGTACATTATGCGTTCGCGCATGAAAATAAAGGCCCTAAGTTCGATTCCTGCGAGCGGGATCATGGATGCGCATTGCTGAGGAGTCCGACAATAGGACTAAACGGCCGTCCAGTGCTTACAGGTTTCTAACGGTGGTCTAACATCAATAGGTTCATGATTTCAATCGAAAATATGTGTGTGTTTAAATAAATAAATATACCACCTACATTGAGTAGCAGTAGAAAGGTGTTTAATTTAAACTTGGATTTCTTAGATGATATGACTTAATGTTGATGTACTTGCTAAGACTAGAGTTGACTAGTTTCCGCTTAAATGTCCATGTTACCTACTGACCATTTACAGTCCTTAATAAAAATAGTCGGAAACTAAAAACCACTGGACGCCGACTCAGTGGTATAGCAGGTAAGCGTTTGTGCGGAAAATCGAAGGTCATGGGTTCATATCCCGTGTGAGATATGGTGGATGTACACTGCCGAAGAGTTTCGTACTGGAGCACAAAAGGCCATCCAGTGCTTTCAAGTTTTCAACGATGTTCAGTCTTAGACTGACTCATGAATATAACTTTAAACATACTTCAATCTCCAGAAACCCCTATTTTGATTAAAACCATTACATCATTTTTATTAAGAAAATGAATTTTTGTCTGTATGGACTAGCACTACTGTTCACCAGATATGGTGATGGCCATTTCGGTATTATGTAAAACTGTAATTACGTACCCTTCGGTAGGCACAAACTATTGCGTTTATTCAGTTCAGTGTAGTCTTGCTTACAATGCTTTTACTAGCTTAGGTTGTTTCCACTTCAAAAACTAATCTAAACTTTATAAAAAAATGAAATCAATCTTCTGTTTCTATCTGACAATAACAAAATAAATATGATGTTTCTTTCTGTAATTTTATTTCTTTGATGTATCATTGCAATCACTGATGTATGTTCATTGTAGAGAAATCTCTAAACTAGTATAAAAGAGAAATTGAGTACTTTTTCTACTGCTTAATTGTTCAGTTTATATAAATCCATTGAAATATAAAAAAATCCAAATTAATTATCAGAAATATCTTTTTAAATTACTTTCAAACCTCGGCCAATATAAATATATGAAGTAACGCTTTTAGATTATTCATATACTCAAGTATTTCCTGGCTTATGAATAAAAGTAGGCTAGTTAAAAATGTTAACATGTGCTTTAGTAAAATTTTTACAAAAGTGTTAGTAACTACATGATTTTTTTTAACTACTTATTAAACTATTTTTACATAAAAATAATAATTCCAATGTTCTATTGACAGCCTCTCTTTTCTCTAGTAGTCTGGTTAACAAATTCTTTACAAAGACGAAATCTTTGATTATGACCTATTTTGCTTTGAACAAGAAATTTACATTGTTAATCACATTTTCTCTTTCAAATCAATTGTTGAAATGTTCTTCTTTGTTTCTTTTTTTCTTCATCATTTTCTATAAAATTGTCTTTGAAAAGTGTTTTGATTGTTAAAATTTAATTTGTTTGCATGTAATGAATGCGTAAATACACATATTAGTATTATTTATTTGTTTTAAAAGAATGGACATGGAATAAACTAAAGATTTAAGAGTACTAAGGACCAAAATAGCATGTTAGGACTTATTGATTTGACCTTGTTTTATGACAATTTTTGTAAATAGTTATTTGGAGATATTTTTCGATCGAAAACTTAACTACTGATTGTTTGTTTGGTCACCTTAGTTGTTATTGAAGACGAAAACTGTTTGTCTATTGTAGAATTTCTGTTTTGTATTATAATTTAAACTTTTCTCTCTTACGATATTCAGAATGTAAAGTAATTTCACTGAGTTTATCTAGAATTATGGATTGATACTGGATCACTTTGTAAGTCTAGTTAGTTTGTGAATCTCGTTGAATTTCATACATTTTCTTGACGTGTTCCATAGTGTAACAAATTCAGAAGACCATTCAACATGTAAAGTCTAACGTGAAATGTGCTAGGAATAGTATATCTAAAATACAGATAAATGAATGAAAAATGTTTTTTTAGTCAGTTCTCTTCAGGTTTTGCAATTATATATCAAAGTCAATTATCTAAAAAGTGGCCAATTATAAGGTTAAAACGGCTTAAAATCACAGCCAATGTATTCCAGATTATTTGTAAAATAAAATAAAATTTTCATTATTGGATTGTGAAGATTGTTTAACTTCACTGAAATCATGAACCAATCAATGTTAGACAACCAGTGTTCAGCTGAAGGCCCTGGACCGACAATCCATCTTAGTATAGAATTCTTTAGCAGTGCACGTCTACGTTCTTGCGAGTGTGGATTGAACCACTCAAACGCTCAACGTTTCGATCACTATCGAGATAAATAATATGAACCAGTGATTTTAACAATTTTATAGGTCATATTGGAATCTTAAGTTTAATGATCAAAGTGAATATGGGTAATATGTGATGAGAGACATAATAATGTAATTACAAATTATGGTAATACTTGTCCTACTAAATCTATCAAAGTAAGAATACGTAAACGGCTGAAGACAGCTGTTCGGATCAAAAGGTTGGAGGTTTGCGTTAATAAGTAATTATTTAACAATCACAATTTGATTAGTGTACATCCAACACTCCTCTATGTATCTTCACAGCCCAAGCTCATTTATGCATCTTATTATCATTATTAGCATAACGCTTGCAAACATTTCGAAAAATTTATTTAGAGCACACCCTTGTTTACCAATTCTTAACTGATTCAGATTACGTAGTTGCTGATCAAGCACTTTATGATTCGTAATTTCATTAGTGTTTTTCTCACATCATATTAACCATATTCGTTCTGATTAGTAATCTTGTCATCTAACGCACAAATGCATTCAAACTGACATTCCATTTTGGTCATCTCAACGTTCATAAATTTATTTGACAAATAATCTGGAATTTATTTCCTGTGATTTTAAACGATGTATTTATCTTATAATTGGCCACTTTTTAAATGAATTATTTTGATATGTTATTGTAAAACTCGAAGAGAACCGATTGAAAGAATATTCTTTGTTCATATATCTGTGCCTTCTATGTGACAAGAAAATTGTAGCGAACAGTTTGTGCCATACCTGCTAATTTGTCAAACTACATGTATAATGTGCAGTATTTGTGGAACTGAGAACTATGTTCATTTTATGCTGTGTGACGAATAGACTAAATTAAGGAACAGTCGTGTATCACGTATTTAGTGTAGATTGATTAGACAATTAGATGTGTGGTACTTGGATTGACTGGACAGTCAAATCAATGTATGAATTGTTAACTCAGTTTATATGCATATACATTTAGTACAATAAATTAATAAGGATACAAATGTGCATATTTGCCTATACTTAAAAATTTGTACACGTATAAATGTTAATTATTGAATCTGTAAACAATTACAAATAACTACTAAGACTGGAATGACTTAGTATGTTTGTTTAGCTTACAATCTATTTAAACACAAATAGAGATGAATGAATCAGCAACGCTATGATTATAATTTTAAGAGTAACAGAGTAACTATAAATTATTATAATTTTAATTATTGTTTGATGCAAAGATGTAGGCTGAACTATGAGATTACACAAGCAGAATTGGTTTGTAAGGTATGATATAACCACAGATTTCTTGGTATGAGACATCTGAATTGACATAGAAAGAATTTTGATTAATAATTCAAAATAGTAAACAAATGATGCAAACATTCAAGATTTCTTGGTTCCATGGTTATTTTTGCTCAGTGACTAAATTTAACATCTTTTAGGATAGCATAAATTGTACAACTTTATTAAATATTAATGAATGAGTGTCAATTTACAAAATAACAGTACATAAAAAACACTACTCCCAAATAGTTTTCGTTCAGTTTTAAGATAAAACAAAGCTGATGGCCTTATGAAATATCGTACTTACATCTTAGGTATTCCTTTGTTGTTGTTTTTTAGAATTTACAATGCTTTCATCAGAACCGAAATTTAACATTCATTAAATCCTATTATTATTCATAGAATTTCATGAATGCAAGTTAGTAAGAATAATTCGCCGGTTGTTATTCCATGTAATTATTATACGAGTTAATTAATTAAATTAATCTAACAAAGTAATATTGTACATTGAAAACATAAAAACCTTAATTTTAACAGTAAAAAAATTGATAACTCTGAAATTTTAATAGTTGAATTCATGAATCGATCTTAGCTAGGCCACCATTGGAAACCTGAAAGCATTAGATAGCTGTTTCGTTCCAGTATGAGACTCTTCACAGGTGGTCTAGCTTAGATCAACTCATTGATTAAACTATTAAAACTATGATCACAAATCACCATCCTGATAATTATGACGTCCATAAATTTTATTACTTTAAAGCTGTTTAGAAAATGTAGATGTAGACTTCCTGGTTGGCGACTAAGCGGTTACTGCTATTAGAGTTTAGAGATGTTGATTTATTTAGCTCGATATCGGTAATAATGCATCAGCATTCAAATTATCTTGGGTTTCAGCATTTTGTTATACATACCTTTCCACTTTGCCTATTCGAACCATATTCACATTGTTAAGCCTTTTTCATTATCACTGCTACTATTTAATGTTGAAGGCTTATAATATTCATACTATTTGGTCGATCTAGTCATGTTAATTTGGTATAATACACTGAGATAACGCCTATGTATTCCGGGTCTTATCTGCATATGATTCCTTGACTGACTGAGTAACAACTAAACGTCATAATCTAAGCTTCAATAATTTTTTTCACGCAACATTAACGTACGACGAATATTCCGTTGAAACATTTTTATCATTTTATGAATGGAATCGTAGCTGAATAAAAATGCAATTATACCGCTTTTATGATTTGATACCTTCAGGCGTCATTGTTTACTTACATAGATATTTTTGATACCAAGTGATATACAAACAAATGTTGGTAATATAAGTATTGAAAAGCAGAATACAATGAACAGAGTTCAGAATTCTTTACTAACCAAAATGATTTCAATCAGAAAACATCGATTTTTCAAACCCTCATTAGGGATAAGTGACATTACACACTTAACACTAAAGGACGAATCAAAAAATGTAAATCTATTGAGAAATCACAATAAACAATTCATTGTTTACCTAATATGATTTGATTCTATTGTGTCATATTTATATTGTTAAAGAAGAAAAGGTTTATTAAATTCTGATTAATCAAATTCTATATAGAAAGTGGCATTTGCTCAGAAGTTTTGTGATTATAACTAACTGCCTAACACTTAACTACATTCTAAAATTTAGTAAATCATGTCAACAAATTTTGTTTTGGAATTTGTTAATAAGTTTTCAACTTTTCTAGGCATATAATTTGTGGCTAAATGTATATTTTGTTTTTAAATCCTTTTGAAGGTAGTGATTATAAAATAATCGCAAATGAAACACTTGAAGAATTGGAATGGTGTCTCAAACAATTGGAAAATATTCAGACAAAAAGGCCTGTCTCTGATATGGCTTTTTCAAAAGTGAGTTTGTCAGTGACAAATTATTTAACATGATTATTACCATTTAAAGTAGGCTAATTTTATCGAATATCACAATGAAATAGTTAGTTAATTATTGGATTCACTGTGAAAAACATAACAGCATTATGCGACACTCTATTTAAGGACGCATAACAATATTTTTTATTATTAGTAGTAATTTTATAGTTTCTAATAATGCTATTACAGTGATTGAAGTCAGAGTATGTAATATGAACGTCAAGACAGTTCAATTGTACGGAGATAAAACTTGAGGAACTACTGCAACCATCATCACAAAGTACAAGTATTTATAAACAACTGTTTACATAAGATACTGAATGTCCGTTGGTCGAACGCAATCAGCGACATCCTATTAATATGGGAGGAAACAAACCAGGTTCTAGCTGACGAGGAAGTTAGGAAAAGACATTGAAGGTGGATAGGACATATATTTAGGAAATCATCAAACTGCATCATGAAGTAAGTACTAACTTGGAATCCTGAAAGAAAACGAAAAAGAGGAAGGCCAAAGAACACACTGAGTCTGGTTTTGGAAGTAGATGTGAAAACGATGAATAGCGCCTGGAAATGACTGCTTAGGACAGAGTTGAATGGAGAGTGTTAATGAGCGCCACATGCTCCTCCACGAGGGGTAACAGGCGTAAGTAGTGAAGTAAGTGTTTGAAGTCAGTTAATGGGTCGTTATATAAATTTACGAACAGCACAGAAAACATTTTAAGCGAAAAAGCGAATGTCGCTTGTCGAAATATATAACTCACAGTGACTATAATCAATAAATGTCTCTAACTTTCATTTTTACCTAATAATTTTAAACTTACAGTTCTATTTTTTTCATTTGTTTGTTTGTTTTGCAAAGTTTAAACGTTTACTCAACAAAGAGTTGAATAGTTTTGGTGAAGCTGATAAGTCTAGACATCAAATATCTGCCTATATTTGTGAAACATTTTTAGGTAAGCGACTTATTATTAATAACCACTAACGACTGTTTATAAAACTAATCGAGAAGTTGTTCATTTTAATTGCATTTTTTTAATTAGTGATATTTTGGACAGCACTAATGAATGTATGTTGATTTTGAAGAGATATTTGAATAAATCTTTCAATAATGTATTCGTCCAAAAATGATTATAGTTGTAGAACTCTAGATTTGTTCCAGTGTTAACTGCTCAGTTAAACGTAAGTGCATTCCAGCGATTATATCTACCTTGAAAATCAAACTCAGCGGTCTCTGCTTCAAACACCTATCAAGTCTCTAAAACTGCGAAAATGTATTCAGCGGTATATGATTTGCCTGTAATATTGATAATGCATATTAAAACATTCATTTAATAAGCCTGGTCACTTTAGTTAAAAAATATCAGCAACTCAAACAATACCAACCGTCTTACAAATCTGTGGCTGGAAAAACAAGGTAGTTAGTAGATAACAATACTTATATAATTATCCATAAGTAATTTGAAAATATATGGAAGTTTTAAATCTTTAAAGGAATACAAGTATCAAGAATTTTCTGATATTGCTAAATGCTAGACGTGAGTTAGAATGTCTATATTCCTACAAGTGGCATACATCTACATAAAATTAACAAAATGTAACGTTTTTTTATTGAAATTATGAAAGCGACATTATTAACGTTTCAAATTTTTCTACCAGTCACTATTTCATACGGTTTGCTTCTTTTGTAAAGTATCTACGACACGATTTACATATAAATATGCAGACGTTTATGTATATATATATATATATATATATATATATATATATATATATATATATATATATATATATATATATATATATATATATATGTATATATATATATATATGTTTTTTTGCGGCAAAAGCTCATGCTTAACACTTGTTATTTACTACGGTCACTAAGTTTGATTATGCAACATTATGTTTTCTTTCACTTCAGTAGATACACTTTGTAAATTTTTAATCCAGTATTATAAGTAACCGACAAAGTCCAGTAAAACACAATGAATTCATATTATTCTGCTTCATTAGTTACTACTAATCTATATAAAAAAATTAAAGCTGGATAAATATGAAAACCCTCAATAATTACTACTCACTTAGCATGCCTTTCACTAAGAATGCTGGTGTGTGATCACGGCTACTCACTAGAACTTAGAAAATTACCTCACGAAGCTAGTCACTAGTGACCATATGATAAATATCAGTATATGGTTGTGGAAGTTGTTGAGTTTTAAATGAAATCATGAACTGATCAATGTTATATCATCACCGAAAACATAGAAGCACTGGACCGCCTCTTCATCTTAGTATATAACACTTCAGCCATGAGAATCCACGATCTCGCACCGCAGACTCAAACCCTGGATCGCCTAACATCTAGACCACTGAGTCGGTACCCAGCGATGTTAATGTCTAACTCTAAATATTACAAGATATTGTGCGACCACCTTCCACTATCTTCAGCGGGTAACTGCCTGAAATATAATTATCTGAAATTATTTCTATTAGTCTAAATTGACTTTTACGGAGGACAAAGTTTATAATACGCCCTTCGACCCTGAGATCACCAACATATGCCCAAACGGAAATTACAAAAAGAAGACTTTCAAACCTCTGATTTTGATTTATATAGATAAAAATATCCGATTACTTTAATAAAGTCAATTTCATCATTAATTTTTTAAGTTTATCAACCTTAGTAAAATATTCATCTTCAGGAATTGTTAGGAATCGGCATAGACTGGAAATCATATGAAAGCCAGAAACTAATGTTTTAATATTGTTTCAGACTCTTCGATAGCACGCACTTATTACAGTGCCAGGGAATCAAACCATGACCGCCGTTTATGCAACTTATGCATTACGTTAAATCTGAATTGCCTAGTCCAAAGTTTCCAGTTTTTTCGTCTACGACATCATATTTGTATATGTTCACTTATGCAAAGGTATTCATGACCGTCCGATCACTTACTAGTGATCAATCTCATGTATGTCAATTTCTTCTTAGTGTTGGTAGGATTCTATCCATCAAGTTGCAATTTGATCATTAGTCTCACTAACTCAACATTTCGTGCAGTATGTTGAGATGTAAGGTGGTGGTTAGAGTTCTTCGACCCTGTTGAAACTTTATTGAACTAAATGGTTTTATTCATGTTAAAAAATACATTTATAAAATAGTCTATGTATTTTTTATTAAATCAGTGCATATATGGAAGATTTGAACTCATTAAATCAAGAGAAGGTAACTCTGTGTCGCACAGTTTATCTTCGCTCAAATGAGATAATATTGGTTATTTTACTTACCTACGAAGTGAACACTAATGCTTCTACTATAATACTTACCAAAAATTCTAAGTAATATCTGATTAGTACTTCAAGTTTATTTATAGTAGTTTGAAATCGAACATAATATGCATATTATTTACTTCGGTGCACCCCTATAGTGGAGAAATTACTATTTTAACATGGATTTATTCACAGATTTTATCTAATTGATATAGATGTGTCTAATTGCATTTTCCTGAATTGTGTAGACACAAGTAATTTACAGATAAGCTAAGCTAATATATTTTTTCCCTTCGGTAAGTGTAATTCATTTCTTCGTACTTTAATGGGATCTTGTAGTTTTAACATAAATACACAACACCTGTGAGATAAGACTTAACCTTAAACATTGAATGCCTGTCTAGTAAGTTTAAACAGTATACTGCGAACGTGTTTAAATTCGTAATTGTAAATTATTATTTCATCTGTCAAACCTCGTAATACGTAAATAGATATTTGTCCATATGAAGGTTTGTCTTACTGATTTTACTAAAGCACAAATTCGATAAATTTCTACTACTCCCTTACACTACTTTGAAATATCTATCTTTCAAAGCTTATACTCTGTATGCCCTAATGATTAGCTTATCGGTGTACATAAACACTTAAATAAAAATCTAAATCACTATTAACTCTTGATGATTTTAGATGTTTATTATTCCAAATCTAATCAATCTTTTCTTCTATATCGGATGGGTCTATTGAAAAAAAGCAGAAACTGAAAAAGACGTTGAAACCAATGAAGAGATTGATTCTATGCTGGAAAGACGACGTAGTAGTGGTCAGTCGCACAATTCAACCAGTGGACAAGATACAAATACTACAAGTAAAAGACAGTCTTCAGGAACTTGTGATCCAAATGCTAATGTGACCAATACAAGGACACCGGATACTTCTTCTTCCTTTTCCTCATCAGTTATAAAGACAAGATTAGGATCAACTGGAAGTATGTCAACTGAATCTCGTAAAAGCGCTCAACTAAATGATTCTAGTGGTTTGTTAACAACAAAATTGTCATCCAGTTCAAAGTCAACGAGTCAAAATGTAGACGATGGTAATGGGCCATACCTACCAATTCATGGAGTTGAAACGCCCAATGATAATGAGTTAGAGGAAGTAAGTTCGAACAGTTGGTGTGGTAAAATAGTATCTTGTTTAGTTTTGAAACATGTAAACTAATCTGAAATTGCCAACACTGAAAACAAAGAGACGCAAACATATTCAGGTAGACAATATAGTTATTTGATTAACCGAGATATGTTTGTATTCAAGAGAATAATTAGGTCCACCGGTGGAAGGGATCTTGAACATAAATGTCCAGCATTGCAAACTGTTGACAGGTTTAAGTATTCAATATTTTAATTCTTCACTTCGTTACACAAAGAACATCTTTAAGTTATGTGGAACTCACATCCAAACATGTTACAGAATACAATGTTTCGCCATCCAACAACCATCCTATCTTTAACGACATTTAACATTCAAAGTAACGATTGAATAATTTAGATTTAATAATGAAAGCCTGATATATAAATTTGTTTCTCATCAAAGTCAAACGGTTTTGCAAAAAAATAGATTGACAAAGACATTATTCATGAAACATGCTATTCACTAGTATCATTTTGAATTGCAGTTCAACATGACATAATTTCTAGGTAGTTTTTGAAGGATTTTTCGGTGGATCCCAGTAGTTAGTACAGTCAGTACCACTTGATTCTTTGGTAAGTACATTTCACTAGATACTGTAAGTTTATTGCTACGCTCATTGATTGCCACTAATAATAAACGCATCCATCCCATAAACTGTAAGTGTAAAGTTTTCTTACTTAAAATGTTTAGATATTAATCATCATTCCTTAATTCTAAGTTACTAGTTGAATTTTATGTTTCATGCATTTTGACTAGTTATATACGATAGCCAAGAGGTATTCCAACTCTCAATATCGAATATTTCTCAGACGTACAAATCTTTCCCCAAATCAGTACAAGCACTAACAAGATTTTCATTATTAAATGTTTTTAATTTATTGCAAATCTAAGTAAGAATGAAGTTTTTTGGTATCTGCCATTCATTTAGATCACTAGCTTTCGATAACTAGTTTTTCATTGTAAAATAATTACATTTAGATGATAGATGGAAACTAAGATCTGTTTCACAGTTATTTTGTTTTAGACTAGGACTATAAAAGTAGACATTCTCCATAACATTTACAATACTGAATATTCATGCATTGGAAGGTTTAACTGTTATTTCATTAAATTAGTATGATATAGACAATACATTTAAAAATCAACTAATTTATCTTACAACGTGAACATCATCACTAGACCTCTATGATTCATTATCCCATTTTCAATTCGTTTGCTTCCATATGAAACTTTTGATCTAATTAGTTTAGGATACACTAATCTTATCTGCATTTCTTGTTGATACTTCTGGTTTATCTTCGTTAATATGAATTGAAATACCCTTAGATGTCTTTAGATATCAGTCTCTTCATGTGCTTCAACTTCAAATGTTTTACCAAAGATGTAGAGACAAACGATCTCTTCAAATTCAATCTGTCAGCAATAATTCAAACAGTAAACTCACATGCGGATAACACAAAAGATCGTACATATTTGATGTTCTTGTTAGTATGGTAGGTCTTAGCCTTTCATCATGCTTGTATTCCCTACAACTGGAAATCTCTATAATTATCCTTGAATATTTCATGGATCTGTAGCTCACCTTTCTTGATCATTTCTTTGAGTATACGAAAAAATAAATCAAGTAGCTAACAAATCAGAAGAAGAAATCCATATTCATCCTGACTTATTTAAATATAATTGAAATTATTTGCACGAAAATTCATGTAACATAATGGAGAAAGTTATGCAGATTTTGTAATTAGGTTATTTATTTATTTGCTACTCTGAAGAAGTGGCTTACTGAGCGAATAGATTGTTCACAAATAAACAAAGCCATAAAGAATTAAAAGTCAAGAATGTGGAATAGTTTTCATGATTTATGGTGAGAATACAAATTAAATCAACTGAATGTTATTAGTTAGAAATAAACGAAAACTAAATAGAAGAAAATAATGATAGATTGTTCTGAGATTAGCGAAATTGGAATTTTTACTCTGATAATTATCTTTCTGTGTAGACTTATGTATGAATTCGTATTAATTTCAGTAAAATGTAAATTGTATATTGTGAGTTCTCAGTTTCAATGTTTGTACATTGAATTTCTTATCAGAATAAAAACAACGCAAAACAGTTCCTTCATAATTGACATTAACAGAGTTACTCCGATTAGACATTTATTGAAAACCAGGAAGCATTGGATAGCTGTTATGTCAGTGTATGGGATTATTCACTAGTCTACATCAAGATACCCCTGAGGATCAAGCCTAGGGCCTTCATGTTTTACGGTGATTACTTAAGACTTGAAACACTTGATCAGGATCCATTGGTTTTTATGCCTAATTTCAATCAACTGGATATATTGCGTAATTATCTCCCTCACATCTGACATGCTTAAACACCACTGGTAAGTACTTCTCACTAAAACTCAGAGAATTAGCTCTTGAAATTTTTAGTTAGTGAGCTCTTGATTATTATGGCAGATATTGTTGGATGCTCAGCATCTGCACTTACAAACCACTGTAGTATTCATAACCATGTACTCGCTAGTGACTACGATAAGTAATTACGCGAATTTTAGTGAGGAGACATGACCAATAAAGTTCCAACATTGGAAGATGGTTGCTGAATACTACGAATTAAATGGTGTTAGACAAGTAAACTATTAGATGACGATCCTGTCAAGATTAAGAAGTTGCCATAGGACACAAAGATTCTGGGTTTGAATCTGAACGCGATGGCATATACTTACAGCTGAGGGGTCTTTTATGACTACAGCTACTGAATGAATTCTTGGTTTTAATTTTCCTCTATCTGGTTTGTGATGTTGACTATGAAATCCAAAAGTCCACACAAACAATATAAAACAGTCTCGTTTAGCAAATTTGAAGTTTAATTTACCTTCTCATAAAATGTGCAATCTACGTGTGTTTCGTATTACAAGTTGAATAAAATGTAAGCTTACTTTTTACTGACAACATATCAATTATGCTGGCCGCATTAATCCGTTATTCCGATATTTCCTCTGTCAAAGTTCGCTAACATTTGCATGTTTGCTTCATTTTTATATGATGCGTTAAGATTAGATATTTAAATGTCTAAAATATATAACTTACAGGAATATCCTTTTTCATGGTGGTTTGGTGAATTCTCTTGAAAACTTAATTTAAATGCGGAATCGGTAAGGCCACTTAACTTTCTAACTATCTACTTTTTGTTAACACTTTCTTGAAGTTGGTCGGAAATGAAATAGATTGATGGTGGTTCTCTTACAAATTTCATAAGTTTTGATCACAATGATATTGAATAAGTAGACTTCAAATTAGATAATGGTAACTAAAATTTGTCGAAATTTTAATAACCATATCTAATCTTTAGCCAAACATTAACTGTTGAAAGTATACATTTCGTATGATGTAACTGAGATATAACTGATCTAGCTTAACGAATGTAACATCATTGTAAGATTAGTTGTCTAGTCAAGAGAGAATAAAGTAACAGGTATGAAACATTCCATTTTGAAACAGTATAAATCCGAAAACAAGAAAGAAAACTTAAACATCATGTGATGGTACAGATTGTTGCATGCAACAGGAAAAAACTAACGATTATTAGCAGTTGTTTAAAATGGTAATTATTGAATGTTTTATGATAGTTGGTGTAAATAAAGAAACAGTTGAATGTCTAATTCAGTTATCAAATTACCTTAAATCAATAATAAAAAAACAAATTTTCTCATTAAAATCATATGCCTCGGAAACAATTAATCATGAATAATAACAAAATATTTTTTTGTTTATTTATAAATCTAGCTCATTTAAGATATTTGTAAATAAATCGGCTAAATTTCAGTTTCACTGCAATAAATAATATAAACTGATGTAAAACTTGGGAACGTACACTTTTTAAATTTCACTAAGACTTGATCATCATTGATAAAGTAATGAAAATCAGATGGCATCAACTAGTTGTTTAATTTGAGTTTAGGATGCTGGAACAGTGTGCAACCCTACAGATCAAAAATTGTTTAACATTCATAATGTATACAGTATGATTCTATCTTACTCATTGTGGTTGTGTGGTGTGTTTATCTGATCGAGAAGTGAGGGTGTTCGATACTGGGAAATTCAAATTAGAAAGAAATGTCCGACTACTATTCTATTTTACTAATCAGTTATTTAGCCGTAAATTATCAAAGCTACTTTGGTAAAAATGTGTTTCAAACGAAACATGGTCTTATGAAATTACTGCCTGTGAAAATTTCTTTTGTTGAAGATTTGTTCGTCTGTACTCTCGGTGAATGTGTCGAAACGGAAATCTAATTCACAGTTTTATCTATAAACTCGATAATTTAAATGTATACCGCTTGGGATTTTCGTGTCATTTCAGTAATTAATATTTCCCTCTTTTTTATGATGAGGGTAATTTATGGACGAACTTTGAGCGACACAGAAGTGACCTTGGGAAAATACACCTACCTACTAGGGTCTTAAGAGGACTATACATTAGTGTGAGAAGTTAGGGTTAGGAATTAGAGTGAGGGTTTTCATTAAGGACTGATATTACCTGTTATACCGAAATACTATTTAGCCTTACTGATGAAAAAAATTTCCCTCCGAAATCCAAAACTAACTACAATAAATTTAATTGGTTCACCCATAAATTAGTTTCTCAATTTTTATTTCATCATACTTTAATCAAAATGTTCACATTATTGCCTCTATTGGTTTTAGAGATTCTCGCAGTGTTTGGATGAATGGGGTTTAGACATCTTTGAAATTGATCGACTGTCTAATGGACATGCCCTTACAACAGTTGCTTATAGAATATTTCAGGTATTGTTTAAAAAACATATTTTCTTCATATTTTAACTTGTTTAACTTTGTAAACTGAATATCCCCATTGAAATATAAAATAAGAAAGAGTGGTTCTGTGAAGAGATAACTTTACGGCAAATTCACTTCCAAAGCTGTACAATCGCAAGTATATACTTATTTTCCCAAATGATGGAATTTACAATAATAGTGGTAATGAAATTTCGCTAAACCGATAACAGTGAGAAAGAATAAACAATGGTATTTAAAGGTTATTTTATTTACCAACAAAACTAAAAATAATTTTGTTGTTAAGTGTTCGAATATTCATCATAAAGATAAGTAAGAAAATTCTAATACGGAGGGGAAGGTTCAGTACGACAAGATAAGCTGTTGAAATTGAGATGAACTGTAATCAGGAGAATTATCGAAACAGAAACAGACCAGTTTGGTGTAAAAGGTCTATAGAGAAGATAGAAGAGAAGCATGAAAAAATCACGATAGATTCAGACCATAGTAGAAGAAGTTATACCAGTTCCTTTTAGACATATAATTCTGGTTGTCCCAGATATACAGCTAGTTTTTCTGCAGAAATAAGTAAATGCCTTTGGAAGCTTTCTACCCACCTTTTAGATGACTTTAAACACATAATCCACTTTGATTGAGTGATCTGTATTCACAGGGTATTCGAGTATTTAGCTTCTTATTTCAATGTTTCCACCTTCTTTCAGTCAGAATGGGTATTATTCTTGAATGCTTTTGGATAAAATACTTATCAAACGACCAATACACCAGGCTCTACATGAACAGATAAATTAGTCAGAAATGTTCAGTTTTCATTAGATATGCAAACTTATTGATCATTGAAAGACCTTAGATAACAGTTCGTAAATATTAGTTTAAACTTTACTCACTAAATCAACCAATCGAGTAGAAAGTTATTCAGATGAAAATGAAATTGAATTAATGGGGAAAACAACAAAAATTCTTAATAATAAAGCTTATCGGTTTATCAGACACCATTTTTTGAATGTAAGCATTACTTGATGGATAATTTCATGGTTAAATTAATATGATATGAGCAGGATAATAAGTGAATCTCTTAAAATTTCCGATGATGCCCGTATAAAACTAAAATGTTTCAGAGCCATAAAATGGAAGTGTGTCATGTTTTTTATGTCATATCATTTACTGATATTTATACTGCCCAATAGTTTCTCTATAAAATGATCATAGGAATTCAGTAACTATATATATTTGAAAGGTTAACAAATGTGTTTATCAAAGAATCATGTATATATAGATCTTACGTCAACAAATATCGGATCATTAGCACGTAATCAATGATACTAACATTAACTCAACTATCATTATTATTAATGTCAGTTATGCCAATGAAATGAGTGAAACTGTGGACATCTTTTCATTAGTTTTTGCCTGTAATTATATGAATTCATTCAGTTAATCGTAAGAAATGTAGAACCTGACACATTTTTACATCTGTCTAAGCTACTGTACTACACGAACACGTCTAGCTGAAATTACCAGGATGAATTTTAATTAGTAAAACCAGAATAAATACACGACAATACATATGAAACAATACTAGTTTTAAAGACTTTTGTTTATACTACTGCGAGAAGTTAGTTAAAGCATTTAATTGGAAGATAAGTTGAAGTATTTAGTCGAATAATATGGTTGACTAAAAAAAAGTCTGTGTATGTGTGTATGTGTACCGACTATCCTGACTAACATTTGTTTTGTTCACAATATAATGAAAATTGATATTGTATTTCTTTCACACAATAAAATAATCAAAGCAGAACTATCATATCATACATAGTCAATCATTTAGAAAAAAATGGAGTGAGAGGAAGTATATTATATGAACATTGATCGGCATCATTGTTTATTTGTTTCACTATTGGTTTTTAATTTCCTTTTGTTTGGTAGATTCAATCACCTATGAAATTGTTCTCATATCATGCTTTTGACTTTTGTTTTTACCAGTTAGTTCATTAGCATAAAGATGTTGATAGATAAATCATTGTTAACTGGGAAAGTCACACTAAGTAATAATGACATTTTGTCAATCTGTTCACAAAATGTTTAACATTGGCTTATATTGAGTTTTCTTCTGTATCAATGTTCGTGATAAGATTTTTGAAGTCAGTATTTTCAAAATTAGTTTATTGTTTTGAAGTGATTGATAATTTAAGATTTTTGAATACCACAACAAAGTATTTAGCTTACAAATATAAAATGAACTGACATTAGATAGTTAAAGGTAGTTAACAGGACACTTCTAACTTAAGTTTAGTGCTTATTGTACTTGTTTATTGAGGAATTCAAGTTGGCAGATTCTCCTCATGATTAGAGAAACCCCTTGTCGATGAGTTTCAACTAGCAGGAAACCTGGTTACAGAGTTCTAGATTGACTTCGTCCAACTACTGTCAATTAAAACATAGTTCACGAGTTGTTGATTTACATAGACTGATTGGCAAACTACAATAAAATCGATAGGATTCAGCAGCACTAGACGATTAGACATGTTTGATTTTCTCAACGAGACTTATCAGCACTCTTAACTCAGTAGATGCTTTCAGGAAGGTATGGACCAATATTATCTGGTTATACAGTCAAATACATTATTCATGTGCTGCTCACCGCTCAGAGATCTCTTGTATGATTGCAATGTCCATTCTGATTGGTCGATGAGGAGTAACTAACGTCAGGTTTGTACCGAGCGAACTTTATCGACCCCGTTGTAGCAGTGATTTTTTTAATAAACCAAATTTATTTACATCTTCAGTTCTGTCTTATTACTATGAAAATTCTATGTATATATATATGTACATATATATTTTACTTTACAGAAACGTGATTTACTCAAAACATTTTGTATTGATCCTCGTGTTTTTGTACGTTATCTGTTAAGAGTTGAATCAACTTACCATGCTGATGTTCCTTATCATAACTCAATGCATGCAGCCGATGTTCTTCAAACAGCACATTTTTTGTTACAAGCGGAAGCATTAGACGTAAGTCGCATGAATCGGTTAGACTTATAAATATCTGTTTGGAAATTGAAACAATATTTATAGTCAGATTGAAAGTTTAGATATGTGTATTTCAGGTGAAGAGAAAGTATCTGTTTGGATTTAAAAGTATTTTTCATTGAAAGTTAACTTTATTAAAAGCCTATGAAATAGTAAAGTACATCATGCTAGCAAATGAGTCAAAAACCTAAATAAAAAAAAGATCTTGAATCGTCTTGGTGGTTAAAACTTCAACTGACTTTATTTCAAATTTGAATTGATGGATACTAGTGGTTTGAGCGTGCGTCAGTTACTTTCAGTTTTCATCAACATTCATGAATAATAAGATATCATGAACTCAAAAAAATATGAAGAAAATTCGAAGTGTCATATTGAGTTAATTTGAAAAGCAAAGGTTTATTTTTAAAATCACATTCATCAGTTATTCCTTGAGAGTTAAATTTAAAGTTAAATTCTCTGTTGAATAATTTTAAAAAAATAACGTATCTGTATTATTGGTAAGGGATTTTTTTATCCCGACGTTCATATTCAAAACCGAAATTAAACCAGGCTTATAAAAATATTTGCACACCATTTAATATCAAGTCATGGGATATATATGGACCACAACTTCCATTAGAATTCAGGAAGTTAGCTCTGTTTAAATCCGAATTTGTCAGCCAATTAGTGGCTGTTTGGACCCTGTCACTCTAAGTTATTTAAAGCAAAAGGTGCTAAATTGCTTCACAGTGTAAACACAAACATTGAGATATTGGTACATCCAAGTGCCTAGTCTCATATAGGATGAAAGGCCCATCCTGCTTTTACCATTGGCCATAATCGGTTTATATTTTACACTAAGTATATATCTATATGTCTGATTCATAGTTAATAAATACATTGTATCAGACTTACTTTTTATATGCAAGCGAACACTGTCTGAGACACTGACGTTTGTTTTAAAACATCAATTCCTTTCCCGTCTTCCCAGTAATCATGATGACAAAATTGACCATAAAATTTACAAAACTAATTTATTTGGCAAAGAAATGAAAAAATAATTCTGAAAATCAGATACTTCCTATTTCGCTTTGATTTCTGTTTTAAAATAAAATTCTCATATAAATTTTTACCACTCTAAACTATCACCATTGGATGCCAGCTCAGTGGTCCAGTTGGTTAAGCGTTCGCACGCGAGACCGAAGGCCCTGGGTTCGAGTCCCGCGAGCGGGATCGTGGATGCGCACTGCTGAGGAGTCCCACAATAGGACGAAACGGCCGTCCAGTGCTTCCAGGTTTTCAATTGTGGTGGTCTAACATCAATCCGTTCATGATCTCAATCAAAAACTTAATAATCTCCACAACCCCTATACTAGTAAATATTACAGAGTTTCATTCAGTAAAAGAAAATTATAAATGAGTTAAATGATATTTACTGTAATATTTTAGACCAAACACTTACTAATTTCAATTGTAGAAAAATAAAGTTAACAACTTTCAGCCGAATGACGATGAAAAGACATATCTTAATTCTGATCAGTAGTATTATTATTTACATTGATTTTTGGACATACTCGTAGGTCCGAACTCTGTGGGTGAACATCATAATTGAAAGACTAGATCATTTATGTCAGTAGGGCTTCAGAATTTTAGTTAATTAAAAGTCCAGTATACTTCTTCACTGATATTGCGATGGATCTTGATAATGTACAGTTTATTGTCAGATCATTTAAGCCGTATTCATGAACATGACAGGATGAAATTGATTTCTCTTATAACTCAAATGTATATTTGATCCACTGCGGTAGTGATTTATTACTAGTTTGGACTAATCAATATATCATATCTGAATGAAGCACTAATCAAAGTGAGTTTTAAATTTCGCAGAAAAGTTATTACTTTCAAGTCATTTTCATTACAAGTAAATAAACGTGTTTCTTTCGTGAATTATTTTTTGATAACATTTAAACACTATACAGAATTTACGTTCTTTGTTCACAACACTTCAGATTTAGCACCATAAAATCCAACAGTGGTGATCGATATTTTCATTCCAGCTAAAATGATGAATACGGTTGACAACAGAAGTTTGTGTTCAGAGATAGAAACAATCATGAGAATCTACTTAATAAACTCGACTACACTAAAGGTTGATTAAGGTAAATAGGACTAGTCATACAGGATATACTAAGTTGATCAACAACTTACAAAACATTCAGTGAGACTGAGTTTATACGGTTCTTAATAGACTCAATTGACTGCCCTTATTTATTGATTTCTCTCTAAGCTAACTATCTTGTAAAACAAAATCATTCTACTTCAGAGTTCATTATCCAAATTGTTTCCTAGGTCAATAATTATTTACATTGTTTCTTCAATAATTTCTTTAGGATGTTTTCAGTGACTTGGAAATTCTAGCTGTTCTGTTTGCCGCAGCTATACATGACGTAGATCATCCTGGAGTAACTAATCAATTTCTAATCAATACTGGTAAGTAAGAAAAGTAAGAAGATAAAGAATATTTATATCAATTTTTGAGGATTTATTACATTTGACAAATACACTTTTTGAGTTCACTAAACTTCTGAAAAACATTAGTAACCTAATGGAGGTACTTTTCAGAATTGTAAATATAATAGATTATGATGTTTTGAAATACAAACAGATATGTGTCTGGACATGGGTTAACTTGAGCAGACTAGTTCACAAGAAATAAGTTGTTTTCAATAAGTGATTTATCTTGATGTTATTGTTCATATAGCTTTGATAAAACCTTTCATTGCGTGGAAAATATATGTCACTTGTCACGCTTTTTTCTCAGCAGCAGAATGAGTAGACAGTCACTTGTAGGTTAAAAGTAATTAAGTAAGAAACTACTGTTTCTTTGGTTAATGTATTTTACAGTCTATTCAAGTCCATAATTGAAAGTGAAAATCATCAACGCCCAGAAGTATAAAAGATAATTGAAGTTGAAATATGTTCACTAACAAATAAATTATCATCATAACTATTGTTACTTTTTTTAGATAAATGAGCAACATCAAAAAATAATAGACTTTACAATAAATCATGGAATAATCATACAGCATAATTAAGTGTTCAACAAAATCAAATGAATAAAAGGATATGGTCCAACATTAAATCAAAACACTTCATGTCCTAAATAACACTTATACTAATTAGAAACTTGAATCATTCCTGAGGGCGTTATGTGCATTGATTAAAAATAAAGCCTATAAGACTATTATTATTATTACTAGTATGCTAGTGTAAGAGCTTGACTTCTTACTTAGACAAACTTAGACAAACTTGTTTACAAAGGTTCAGCGATACCAACATCAAACAAGATTGTTATGAGATTTGAAGCAAACGCTGAATGTATCAGCAACATCTGGCTACTTTAATTACTACCATAATGAATTGTTTGCTCGACATAATTAGTCATTCACTATTAACTGTAAACATTTTGCTTGATAACAATTCTAAGTTAATTTTTTGTTGTTGTTATTCTTGTTCTCTGATGTCTAACTTAAGAGTGACAATGTCATGTAGTGATTAATTTGAATTTATAATTGATTGATCACTGAATAGTGACCAATGTTATGTTTGTCAGGCATTTAATAGAAATCTAATCTTATCTATTCAGTTGAGCTATGTTCGCTAGTTTCAGGGACTCGGCATCGTATTCATCATATTTTGCATTAAGATGATTGGAATAAGTCTGTAGGAAACTAAGGATCTAGGTTTTGTGCTGGTCGGGACTCTTCAACAAGCCATGTCTTATATTCTTAAGAAGACTGATGCTTCTTATCGGATTTGAACACAGAGATATTCTGACGAAAATTCAGGTGGGTCTTGTTTGTAAGCTCCAATACCAGAGATTCCTCTCAACTGCCTCTTACCAACGAACATTTCAGCTTAGTTAAGTAGTAGATAGGCGGAATTTGTCGATGAATATCCCTTTGAGCAGTGATAAGGGGAGGGTGTGAAAAATTATCTACTAATGTGTCGGCTAGTGAGAATACTAAATTTGCATCACAGTCGCTTTAATGTTATTTGGATGATTGTAGAGGCACACCCTAGACTGGTTGCAGTCCGAAATAGGAACTATTCTATGGCCTAAAAGTTATTTACTTGTATAGAGACTTGAAGTTATGAGTGTGTACTCTTGGGTCAGGGTACATGGTTTTCAACCTAAACCAACTATAACCAATCCAGAAAGAATACGAATTCCTTCTATCTGTAAGAGTTTGTATATACTTGAAGAATATCGCTGATTATCTTAGGCAATCAAAAAACATGAAAAAGATAAAAACAGACTATGAATCCAACTTAATGACAAATATGTGGTAATTTGTGGAGATTGTAGCATTTTAACAGTTGAATTCACGAGTCGGTCTAAGCTAGACTTCCAGTGAAAACCTGGAAGCACTAGATAGTCGTTTCATTCTAGAATAAGACTAGCAAGGGGTGCTCATCCACGATCCCGCACACAAACGCTTAACCTCCAGACCACTGAGCCGGCATTCAATTATGTTATGGTTTTCGCAAGACCTTGGATCAATTGAAGTCAGACATTAAAATCGTTGTATGCCTGCACAATGGTTTAGAGGTTAAGTGCTCACGTGCAAAATCGAAGATTCTGGGTTAGAGTCCGACGTGAGACATCGTGGATGCGCACTGCTAAGGAGTTCTGTTCTGAGACGGAAAGGCCTTCTAGAGCTTCCAGGTTTACGATAGTGGTCTAGTTTAGATTGGCTCTTGAATTCAACTGTTAGAATTTATGGTACTTAAATCCATATTATCATCAGTATACGATCATCATGACAAACATTCTTGTATCACTGGGTTTTTTAATAAAGTAGTGCAACGAGAAAGACAGAAACTTTTGTTGTTCCTTGATAAATATTATTCTAGTGTTTATGATCAGTCAAAAAAGTCAGTTGAAGAAAATATTTTTAAATGAAAGATAATTTTTCTAAAAATGATATCGGTGAATATTTCAAACGTTAGCAATGATTAAAAACTAATATTTTTTCCGTGGTGTAAAACTCATTTTTTACCCGATTTATGACGGATTGTACGTGTGGTTTTCAGCCTCCACTTTTCATTTTAACTCTACTGTTTAAAACAAAACTAATAATTTCGGCTTTTTAAATGTATAATTTTGTGATGTAATCAGCACATTTCATTTATTTAGAAAAAAATCTAGAACAAACTGTGGTATATGTTGAACTTTTCAGTTTTACCGACATATGGAACAGTTTTACGTGGTATTATTTATGCACTGTAGTGTTCAAATGTTGTCTCTATAAATTATCATAATTTTTGAATTAGATACTCTTTCATTGACTATTAAAAATAGAGTTCTGATTATTTGACTATGTGGTAAGGTTGTATAAGACATAAATATACATTGGATTATGTAAGTTAGGCGAGACTATAATTTATGAACGAACCAATCAACTGTAGTGCAACAGGTTTTGGATTTTGGCGCGAAATCCATTCATCAATATGAACAAATAGTGTTTAGGAATTTTAGCTGATGTCGGTTTGTGATAGAGATTCTAAATCTAGTTCCTAACGCTAACCACCAACTGTAAATCTTTTTCTAATTCCTTACAATGGTTTAGTCCTAGTTTGTAGGTGGACATTCTCAAGGTCATTTTGCGTCGATCAAAGGTTGTAGTCTCACCGTGAGTTATCTTGGTCAATCTGTTGAACTTATTTATTTGATAAAATTTTAGCTTGTACTCAAAATCATTTGTTATATTAGACAAAAAGTAAATAAAAAAACTCAAGCAAGTGAATAAAATGGGGAAGAAATATGATTTTATTGATTTTTACGAATTGATTTTCTCTTTTCCTTTTAATTTTTTTAAATAATTTGTTTTAACTTCGTTACCATGGATTCCTTGGCGTTAACATAAATCAACGTAATATATTCTAAATTAAAATATACAATTATTTACGTGTACATTAGTAAATAATATCACAAAAGGTTAGGTGAAGTATGGAACATTTTATAAGGTTCATTAACTATCGAGATTTGATCCTGTTAATTCGTTATTAGGAAATTATTTGATCTAATTAGTCCGTCTATATAAGTATGTTTGAATATAATGTCGTTTAGTGCTATACTTCGATAAATGAACAGACGCTTTAATAACACGTACAGTTTATATATATATATATATATATTACGTGTAGGTTAAGGATTAGTTACCTTAAATATACCATTGAATTAAAATGAATTTGATTCCGAAATATCATAATTTAACTGTTGACCTGACTTAATTCGTGAATGTTTTAAGAGGCAATTTATAAATGTTCAGTGAAATTAATTCTTACCGTATGTATTGAATTTTATTCCCTCAGCGGAATGCAAATTATTCATACACCATAAATAATAAACTTCAGTGGCGAAATCTAGGAGCAGCAGCTAGGTGTTTTAATTATAATATATTGTCATGATGCCACTCAATATTTTAATGGTTAATAAGAAGATTAGTGGAAACCAGATCAAAGTTCCAAGGTTTGATACCAAGTACTCTCTTGACTGTTTACTGCTGAGTGGTTCCAAGCTCAGCGCTTCCTGATTTTTAGTGTTTCCATAATTAGCATCATTAAATAACGAAATACCATATCACCTTTTAATGATTTATACAGTATTGAATCAAACGTTCTTTCTTAGAATAAATGAATCGTGGCTTACATTTGAATTCATGTTGAAACTTGTCAGCTGGATGTACTTAGGTCCTAGTGTTGAAGACCACATTGGGACTCAGACCGATTTCTTTTCTCTTCATACACGAAATGTGTTATCTAGTTGACTACAGAGTCCAGATAATTGCTAAATATTTCTAGGGGTTTAATCAGAGAATAAAGTATACGGATATTATTTAAATAAAAATTGTCAGCTAAACATTTGGAACATTTGACTTTAGAGAAACATTAATCGTACAACCAGTGAAAATCGAGAAGTTAACCAGATCATACTTAAAACGATAACTCACAACTGACAATGAATGAGTGATCATAATATATTGCCAAGTTAATGATATTTAAGCCGTCAGGGATTTAAACTTTGACTTTGTAATGAAGCTTAAATAAGCATTTAAAATGATTGACAACATCTTCAGATTTAATTTAATTAGTTAATCATCTTAATGTTAATGATTACATCGACCAGATGATAATATTTTAAATAAACTATATAAAATCATTGAGCTAAAAGACATAACTGTAATCACCTTAATTTCGTTTTATACATAGGTAACCACTTTAAAGATTACTAACAATAGTTGATACATCATACTATGAAAGCATTCATAATGATGAAGATATTTTTTGTTATATCATAATGAGTAGAAAATTGTATTTCCGACGTTTTGTGACCTAATGTCAGCCACTGCTCCAGAGTAAATAAATGACCGACATTGTTAAGTTTCTACTTAATGCTCAAGTCCGACCTTGGTATTGATACCTGCAAATTCATAATGGTTGATCGCTAGGTAATAATAGATATGGTATTTGAAAACGGTTGACAGGATTCCTTTGCCTCAGATCTCATGCTAACTAACTCTCTTCAGTTAGATGTATTTAGGATAATGAAGAAACAGGCGTTCTCCTAGGGATTCTTGATCTTTTTTATCCTGTATCACAGACAGAAACCCTACTACAAAGTGATTTGGATCAAGAATGACAGATCTCCATCATAACTTAGATGTTTATACTGACTGATTACCTAATGGTAATCCATGTCATAATTGCTAAGTCTTTATTGTTACTTGAATGCTTTCAGCCCAGCTTTAATATAATCACCAGACTAGGTAACTTGACATTGGGGTGGACACTTGTTTTCACTTAGTGATCAGACACAGTAAATATCTTCATCCTGCAATTTCAGATACATTTTAGATAACAGATCGATAACCACTCTGACTGTAGCACAGTATTGTTGAAATCTAGAGATATAAATAGTTTTATCATCAATACAAATGTCCTTTGCTGACTAAAGTCATTTACAAACATCTGTGTGCAAGGCTTCTTAATAATTGTTTATGATGAACTAATTACGAGTATTCTTCAGTGTATATGCTACACTATTTGTTTCCAGGTTGGACAGAGTCTTCTGACCACTCTAAGCAACAATGCAAGCATGTTCGGGATGCGATTCTCCTCTCGAAATGCGAAGTGTTGCTTCGACACCCGACCCAATGATAGGGAGTAAAGTAGATGAGAGTGTCGACCGCTTCACTAGTCTTGAAAGTCTCACCAGCCCTTGTGGTCTGTCGTGTGACGAAATCTCAGCACGGATACAGAAGGCTCGACTAGCTTTTGCCAACTCCCGTCATTTATGGCGTAGGTAAGATATCCGTCTATCAACCAAAGGACGTGTTTACTGTGCAACAGTTCGTTCCGTCCTACTTTATGGTAGTGAAACATGACCGATAAGAGCAGAGGATATTTGTAGTTTACTAGTATTCGATCATAGGTTTCTTCGAAGCATTATTCGTAAATCCTGGGACCACCGATTAAGTAATGCAGTTGTTAGGAAACGGGCGCTAGGATTACAAATTAATTGATGAAATGGTGAAACTTCATCAGTTGAGATGGCTTGGACACGTGTTACGTATGCCCAACCATCGATTGCCCCGATGTGCGATGTTTTATGGTGTAGGAGTAGGTTGGAAGAAAGCTAGGGGTGGCTAGACCGAAACATGGTACAAATCTATGAAGTCTCTAACAGGTGGACTGAGCCATGTTGGTAGGTGTAGACTTTCTGGTTGGGATCCGCGAGATGATAGCCACCTATGGTTAGAAACGTTGAATGACATGACTCAAAATCGTTTGCAATGGCGCAGGTGCATACACCCTTTGTGTTCTCCCGAATTCTAATCTTCTGAATTCTTCATGTCCATTTCTTTTTTCTCTTTCAAATTTCATTTCATTGGATTATACTCGTTGAATAACATCTTCAAACCCTTATCTTTCGGATTACTGCTTATACTCTTACTACCCCTACCACTACGAAATTTGAGTCGACAACTGCATCTCTGTGCTGTGGTATGGCAACTCGAACTGATGTATGTACGTACGAAGTTCTAAGTTGTTACTGACTGACTGACCGTCGAGGCATCTTTTATTATTCTGTAGTTGCGTATTTCTGATATTCTCTTTACATACTTCAATATTAACATACAGGTTAATAGTATTATTCTCAGTTGAATTTTCATCCGCCTTTACTCTGATAGATGGCTTATAGACTGAGTGAAATCAATCTGCCCAAATGACCTTACAAAGAAGGTCAAGGATTACATGAGAGAACCAAGGTCCTTGGTTCGATTTACGGATGTGGTGTCACGAATGCACACTGCTGAGAATTTAAAGCATTGGTTCAACCATTCATTATCCTTACCACAACTGCTGGTATGCCTGTCATGGTACTATCAATTTGTAATCTTTACTTGTTACGTTAAGTTATGTAATCCATTTGATTGTTGTTACCGTAGCACAAACTGTCTTGATTAGTTTAATATTTTCCGTATATGCACGTAAGTATATTACTTTATAGTAAAGTAAAGCCTAGTGAGGATCTAATTGCATACAATATTGTTCGTTTATATTCATTGTACGATTTTACACAATAGGGATGTTTCTATAATTTGAGTATTAATACACTATAACCTAGTTCACTAACAAATAATGATAAGATTTATTATTATATTTAAAATTAAAAAAAGATTGTGGGGGTCGGTATTCAATATAATCCTTAAACTTCGTATACAGTTCGTCTTGATAACCGTTACTAGGTAACGCCCTAACGGTATATTAATCAGAAGGCGAATACGAAGTGTTGATTACGTTTATGGAACCAAACACAGATATCCCAAATTACACGTGCGTTAAACAAGCATGAAAGAGTTGCGCCGAAAGTCAAGCAAGCAAGCGAGGGAGCGTGTGAGTCAGCGAATATGAGTACGAGTAAGCGAGTACAATTAAGCGAGAGAGAGCAATAAACATGAATAACACAGATATATACATACATAGTGAAATGAATGAATCATGGAATCAATTAAGCGGTTCGTAGTAAGGCTAGCAGCGTGAATAAATGCGTGGGCAGTAAGCAATGCTCAAGCATACATGTTCATACATTCTCAGCAATAATAAAGATGCAATGATATAGATAAGTTGTTGTTGTACGGATGACTCAGTTCGTTAATAAGTCAACAAAATGACTTAACCGAATTAAATGTGAACAAACTCAATTGTACGTGGGTTGCTGTAAGATCATCATATGCATAAATCCCTTAATTTTCATTTCTTAGTATTTTTTTCTAAAATCTATTATAAAGGTCATGAATTGGCTTTACAATATAATGATGCATCCGTTCTGGAAAATCATCATCTTTATATGGCATTTAAAATTCTAACCGAAAAAGACTGTGATATATTTGCTAATTTAGGTGGAAAAAAACGTCAAACTTTACGTAGAATGGTTATAGAATTGGTACGTTTGATTTTTAACTATATTTATGTATTCTGTGATATATTTATACAAAAGCCACTAAATAAAAAAACCTGCATAGTGAAACTGTCATTAGATGTGCGATTCGTTTGAAAGGTAACGTATCTATGAGTGTGTCTCTAGGTTTTCTATGGCTAATAAAGTGTAATGAACGACATAAATCTCTTGCTACACGTAAAAGGTAATTGATCGTGTTCTTTAAGCTTAAACGTACACATTGGATAATTAAGTTTGTTGAAGTTTCTATTAATTGCAAATAAACAGGCGGTAAGCGGTAGTGTTAAACTAAGAGCAATTGGAAGAAAACTCAAAACAAACTGATTGATTATATGGTTAACTCATACATAATCATATGAAAAAATTTGTTGCTTAGATTATCTTATGAAAACAAAACGTTGCTTTGATTCCTAAGGGTTTAAATTAAGTAGAATGATAAAAATGGATTGATAACATGAGCTATATGAGTTCGTCCTAGTTATCAATAAACAAGTAATCACTATCATTTATATGATGGACTTCTGTCGGTTAAAAATCAAATGGAAAACCTTGATTATAAGGCTATTCATCTTTACAAATTCTTCAATAGAGGATTGACTAATTCATCACAGAACAACCAAGGATTTAAAATATTACCACTTATCTCTTCTTATTTCATTTTATAAAGTATGTAACCCAATTGCAATATGATGTCATCTGATAACATTTGTTCTTTATGATGACTGGTTTTTTAATAATCAACTATTAATTACTCGCTTTGTGATATTTATGCTGTTATTTTACGTGGCTGTAAATTGTAGGGCCATAACATTAGATACTCAGACTAATGGTAATCAGTAATACCAGAAGATAGTTAAACGAAATTTGGAAATGCAAACTTAAGTAACGTGAACTAGTCTTCACCACTTTTCCCTATTTAGATGTCTCCAAGTTGATTAGGATTAAAACAGGAAAATGACACTTGGTTTTAAAAGTTTCTAAACTATATACTGAGATTTATTTTAATTGACCTTAACTAATAGACTCAAAAATAGACATACAATAAGATGCATTGCTGATAACCTTTAACAATGATTACAACTTGAATGTGACCTAATTGAAGTTTATAGGAGGTTTCAAAAGATTGCTGAACTTCGAAATTTTATGTCAGATATTGACCATGGTGTTCAACTATGTCTGGCGTTAGATGAATATCACTAATGATAGTAACATACGTTTTCACAATATAGCGTATGGACTGACGTTTGAAATGTAACCGACCCATAGATGCAAATGTCAAGTTAAAGTTTTTGGGTTTGATGCTCAATGAGGTCGTGGAGTCCTACCGCAAAGAGGTACAATAAAAGGACGAAACAGACATTCGGTACTTCCTGATTTAAAATAACTGTTTAACTAAATTATATTAATAATGCAAAATTGCAGAATTGAGTTTCGCCGTTGGACTTTGTTCATAGTTATCAATTTGTTTAAATATTTTTTTGTATAATCATTTTACGTATACAGGTGTTAGCAACAGATATGTCTAAGCATATGAGTTTATTAGCTGATTTAAGAACAATGGTTGAAACTAAAAAAGTTTCTGGATCCGGTATGTTGAATTTGGACAATTATGCTGATCGTATACAGGTATGTGATTGTTGGAGTTGAATAATTCACATTTCATTCATCCAAATAAGATTGTGTAATGATTGAAAAGTCACAGTTTGGTATGAAATACAATTCATGATTATTCATTTGATGTGAATATGAGACGAAAAATAAGACTTAGAGGCAGTAATAATAGCTGATTAGTATGTATTAAAAATTAGAATTAAAGAGAAAGAGGCTAAGATCCAGATAAAATTGGAGATATGTATTTTAATAGTTGAATTCATGAGCCGATATAAACTAGACCACTACTGAAGATCTGAAAGCACTGGAAGGTCGTTTCGTTCTAATACGGGACTCCTCAGAATTGCATATCCATGATCCTGTACGCGGGACTCGAACCCAAGATCTTGAATATCAAGCGCAAACGCCTAACTTCTAGATCACTGAGTCGATTCATTAATTCAATTATTAAAATTACTACAATCTTCATAAACCACCATCCAGATATATAATTATCGAAGTTAAATTTGATTTAACTAGTGATCTAACTAATTTCCTCCTGGTTACAGACAATTTACTGCTAATTGATTAATCTTGGAAAATTGACAAACATTTTTATAAGGCATGTTTCACATAATTTTAATAGTCCTAATACATTGAAGAGTGAGAAATTTTCAAAATGGAATATTTTTCAATTGTTTATGACATTCGTTTCTTAATATCTTGTCTATCAGTATGTTACTCTATTAGATGAATAGCCTTATTATTCAGGCTAATGATCTTATCTATAAACATAAATCATTCGGGAGACTTAAACCAATAATTCGGTCTCATAAGCAATCATCACTCGATCATATTGTATTACTGAGTTTCGCATTCCATCAATATCATATCCCTTCATTTATCAAATCATTAAAACTCCCACATAATGAAGGTACAATCGATAATTTAACTTAACAATTATTTACAAAAGTGGGAACAAATTTGTTGAGATCAAAATTCAAGAGTCAATATCATTTTTCATATATGATTGCTACATTAGATAACATATGAACATAATAATTCATCAGTTGAAGTTGTTAACTGTTTCTAAGAATAAAAAACAAGCTATTCCATAGTTATTTTCGTATGGAACAGTCAGAATAGGTTGTGTTGTGTAAAACAATCGGAAATTATCTGATTGTTGAATAATGTTCAGAAGTACCACTTGATACATTTTTTTCAGTCATCCGAATGTGCAGTGATGTTATGAGGTCCGAAAATACCTAAGTTTACTACTAGCTGATGGGCGAAAAATAGGGTTATTTCGAAATTTTATAGATTAGCTATCTTCATGTCAATGTAACAAGTTGCAATGATTAATTTTCATAATCACAACCTTAAACAAAGCAGTAGTTTTGGATCATTTATCATCATAGTCATCATTATCAGTCTCCCATAATAGTTAGATCTTCTAACGTTTTAGCTGAAAAATCTTCACAATTCTCTAATCCTGATAATTATGATAAGTAATTTATTACATTCTTATTTAAAGATGTATTTACATATGGTTCAGTAGTATTATGTTAATTTTTATTAAAATTCTGTTGCATTTTAAAGCCAATATCCTCAGTTTAGATTGTTTATTATGTCTCATTCAACTGAAAGTATATCTTTCATGTAATTCTACCAACCTTATGTTTTGTATTGTTTATTTTTTCCTAAATAATGCACAGATATTACAAAATATGATTCATTGTGCTGATCTTAGTAATCCAGCTAAACCATTACGATTATATCGTAAATGGACTGGACGTTTAATTGAGGAATTTTTCAGACAGGGGGATAAAGAAAGAAAGCTATCATTGGAAATTAGCCCAATGTGTGATCGTGAATCTGTAGAAGTTGAAAAATCTCAGGTAGGTTGTTAATTCTTGTGTGTACAAATTCTTTATGTTTTTAACCGTGTAAATGAGCAATAATAAATTTGTTTTATAAGGGCAATGACATTAATAGTTTGATAGTTAACTCACAAGGTAGCTTTTGTCCTCTATAATCACGAATTCAGATCCTACTCCACCTAACTCTATCACGATAACTGGGTAATATCACTAGCTGTCATTCCCGTAGTACTTCTCATAGACCGATATATTTATTTATACTTCACAATTGAGTTCTAATCAATTTTTATGTAGAAATATTTTCCTTGTAACGAAAACCATATCAATGCTTGATACTCATAAGCAATACTATAAGTTCTGAATATTCATGACAGATATTACTGAAAACTGCATAAAGTGTTTTTTATTAACATTAACTTGTAAAGAAGAATATTATCTGGTTTTAATGTTTGTTATTTTAAGAATATTTTGTGCTTCTCTCCTTGTCCAACAATGTGACTGATCTCTCTTCACTAACGAATTATGATTGTGTAGTTTCTATGTTGATTTTTTTAGTAAACTATTACATCACATTGAAAGCTTGATTGTTTTTCCGAAAATAATAACAGTATGTACAGTAAATTGTCTTAGTTACATAGATAGTATCATTATTAGTGTTATTCGGAACACCATTGTTGATTATTTCTATAGATATGTTTAGTAAATTATTATTACAACCCATAAAATATTCCGACATGATTGATAGTGTAGGTGTAAATATTTAGTGCAATAGATAATGACAATTATGTTTCCCACTGACGAGTTACGTGCTCATGTACTTCTCTTTGAGCCGCAGTGTTTATACAAAGATTAATAATAAAACTACCTAGCTCCTCAAACAGATTATGTGAGAGAAGGGTTTGAACCCGGAATCTATTTGTTAAAAATGAGCCATTTCCTTACCGACTAGAATAACATAATCAAATGTGATGTCATTTTGTGGAGTGGCAATCATGGAGGTTTTTTTACTAGTTAAAACGATCAACCGAGTGGACTACCAACTTCTTTTCAGGAGAGAAAAGTGTTAATTTATAGACTAATAATTGTGTCTATACTGTTATCGTTAATAATTAGCTTTCTAGCAGTGAAATTGAAGGAGAACTAGTGTCAAGAACAACCGATTCGCCTGATTGCAGTTGACAGAAGACTGACTAAGTGGAGAATATCAGAACTGCCCAGAACTATTTTAACAAACACAACAGTATTATTTTCAAACGCCAAAATCCAAATAAATAATATTTCCAAATGTTGCAAGTCAGGTGCCAGATACCTAAATTCTATAAAGTTTAATTTTAGCAAAGAAGCTTCGTAATACAATGATCCAGATCAACCACCAAGTAATTATGGCTACCCGAGATTGTCAGGACAAAGATTAACAAATTTACAATCATTTTGTCTTCAAATGGAGTTTATTAAAATACATGTCCATGATTTGGTTAGAGATCAAAAGGCTATCAGTTCCCTGATGATTGACAAATCTATATCCGTTGGTTCATATTTTCGATTTCATATAGTTTTTGATATAGAGCAGAGATCATCCAATTCAATTTGTGCCAAGTCTCTCACACCTGATGTAGTTTAATTTTGTTTTGTAAACGTCTTGAACATCACAAACTCATTTCTAAATTAGTTACTAATTAATATATGATTACAGTTTGTTTTGAAAGTTATGAAAGTTTTGTCTAATTTTCGTCACAGATTGACAACTTTTGAAGTATTATTTATCAGCAATAAAACTTCATATTTACCTAGATAACCAATGTGCTTAAGTCAGTTAATCAGAACGATTATCTAGTAACAGTGTTTTACTGAACGAACAGAAAATTGTCATAAAAGAAAACAGAATTATTTTTAACTTCTTAGTTATGAAGTACAACTGAGAAACAATAAGAAGTTTCAGTTAATATAATGAGTCAATATTGAACATAACAATATCGAACTATTTTGTGTTAGTTTCTGTGTTTCATAGAATGAAACTTTGTCAAACTCATAAAATAACATTATTTCTAAGACTTAATACAATGCAATAAAATGATGTTGTGGTGTGCGCTCCTTATGCGGACAGACATAAGTACTATATAGCAGGAATTGGGAGTGGAATGCTTACCAGCAGGATATTATGTACAGAGAAGAGGAAGGAAAACAGTTAGCAAACGGAATAACAAGAGAATTAGAAGAATGATGAAGTACGTAAAGGACAACTGAAAGATGTGTAGATGATATATATAATGTTTGATTTTCATAATTTATAAAGGCGCTGTGTAATTTTGCATTAAAATATAAATTGGTTTACATCATCAAGTTTTTATTCTCTACAAAATGAATTACAAGGCTACAGTTAGTGTTTTTTAAAGCCTAAAATATTTAAATGGAATATGCGGAATAGCCACTGCATTTGTAATTATTTTAAATAATTGAATTCCAATGTAAAAACTGATTAATGATATACATACTTTCAATGAAAATGATGTAGTACAATTATTTCACATTTTTCAACGCTACTCGATTTATTGTATAATTTCAATTGAGATCATGAACCAATCAATGTTAAACCACCAATGAAAACGTGAAAGCACTTGATGGTCGTTTTGCCTTAGTATAGGACTCCTCAACAATGTGTATTCGTACTAGAACAAAACAGCCATTTAGAGCTTCCAGGTTTTCAATGGTGACTTAACATTCATCGGTTCATGATCTCAATTAAAACTCAACAATCTCCACAATCCCATAGTGATAATATAATAATTGTCGCATCCCAATCACCGAATAAACAATTGATAGATATTTGATTTGCAATCTATAAATAATTTCAAGTTCATTCTGAACTCTACACCGAACTATTATGAAACACTTTGTTCAAGTTCAAATGAAAATCTTTACAAAGTTCCACTTTATGTGTTACCATAATTTCCTCCTTTAAAACCTTCTTTTTTACAATATCTATCCTATTTTTTCTATTTTTAGGTTAGTTTCATTGATTTTGTGTGTCACCCATTATGGGAAACATGGTGTGATCTAGTACACCCCTGTGCTCAGTTAATTTTAGATACATTAGAAGATAATCGTGACTGGTATGAATGTCATATAAAAGAATCCAAAATAAAAGTTACTCAGTTAGCTCGACCAAAATTAGCTACTGCCGCAGAAGATGATGAAGAAATTTCTACAACTTCAGGAAATACATAAGTTTTATTAGTCAATAATTATTGAGAAAAAGATGAGCGGGAAGGGGGCAGATGAAATTAAATATAGGATGGCAAATAATATACAAAAATAATGTAAATATTCAGATAATATATCTTTTAACAATCTACATTACACTAATATCCACCCAACCAAAATGAAATAAGGATAATTGTCAAATATATTTATTGATAATAAATATTTTTTACATTAGAAAAATAATAAACGATAATCAATCAAAATATCATTAACTTTCTAATGTAGGAACCATTCATATGATTATAATTGTTATTGATTTTGACGAACAGACGAATGAAAAACAAAGAAGTGTTTTATTGATTATTCAATTATGTCGTATAATATATTTTCATCTCTTTGATTTCCCTGATATTATTTAACTATTTATTCATGTATTCATTCATCCACTTATCTATTTTACCTTTATTTATGGATATATATATATATATATATATATATATATATATATATATATATATATATATATATAACAAGATACCAAATGATTCAATAACGTTTAATACATTTATGAATTCAGTTACTTTTGTGAACTAAGAAACATAAATAAATGGAAAAAAAATAAGGATACTTTACATGTGCAAAAATTCTAACCATTGAAAAGAAAAATACAGCATCTGTTTTATTTTCTAATTTCAGCAAATGATTTCTCTCATTTTTGTACTTCTTAAACTAAACAATTTGTGTTTCTACAAATTTATACAGGAGACAGAAATAATAAAATGTGCACTGAAATCTAGAAAGCATTTCATTTTAGAACAGATATGGTGGACATGTTCTTAACTGCCTAATCTATTTGCCCCGTCATTCCCTTCCATACTTACATTTCATTTATCAGTATGGTTATTTTATTCATTCATGTTTGTTTGTTTGTTTGTTTGTTTGTTAAAGATTTTCTGTTGCCTTTTTATGCTTTATTTTTTCTTAACAAAACACACATACATTAAACATTGAAATGATATTTTCTTTCTCTCTCAAATAAAGTTTGAAATTAAAATTAATTAAATCCATAATCAGAAATGTTGAATAACTACATCTGAAAACTATTGATCCTAATAAATAATACTGAGAAGCTCGGTGATATGGAGCTTTTTATTATTTTATTTTGATCTTCACTAATTATCCCTATAAATTATCTATCGGCAATATGAAAATTAAAGACTGAAATGATCGCTTGAAAGGTATATTCATTAAATTATCTGATCAATTAAAGTTATTATATTTCCATCAAAGTTCTCATCAACGTTTTCTCCATCTTTCAACTGTCATAGCGCCTACTGCCTTGTGTATATTTGTTAATATGTTCACGTGATCGTTTCTTTCAAAATGTTCAGAAAATTGTTTTTCACATACGCTGATAGTCACAGCCTAATGTATGATGGATTATATAATGGTGTCTCTTTTACAGTCATGTTTTTAAAAGTATATATAAATGTATATGTATGTATATGATGTAATCAATCTACCAATCATCTTATAGATGACTTGCATATCGATCCTCTTTAACGGCTAATTTAAAATACCGATCGATAATTATGTGAAAACGTAATTTGTATGTAGTTATCTTGCCAAATGAACCGACAGAATATTCTATACTTTAAACATAAATAATTATCAAGATAATCTGTATGGATTCTAGACAACTGATTGCTTTTTTCCGATTTTATGACCAAAAAAGAAAGAAAAAACATTATGATGCTTGAAAAATTTCTTTTTTATCCTTCATGATAAAATACTGCTTAGTATTTCATTTTTAAAATAACCGAAATGTGTTTCCCTCCCTTCCTTTCTCTGCATGAATGTGCCTATTTCTTATAATCAGAAATATTATTATTGTCATCCATTCTGTTTTATTAAGATTTGATTGTTGGATCGATATTTTCATTGGTAATCCATACATTGTGAAAATGCGAACAAATAAAAATGGAGGGAAGCAAATATTATTGATGATGACAACCATTCATTTGTATTTGCATGCAATACAAGAATACTCATCAATATAATTCATCGTTTATTGTATGATATTTATCCGTTCCTCTTCAAGGCAATATACTTTATTAATTAAGTTAAAAATTAATAAATTGTTATATACAAATAAAGCAATTCAGTAGTACTGTCATTATAATGGTAGCTTAATATAAATATTATGGAATGTTTCATATGATATGACTTATCAGGTTGAAAACAAGAATAAAACAGAGGTTTAGAGCATTATTAATTCACAATCAACATCGGTCGATGACGAAAATCTCTTTTCCTACTGAATTAATCTTCATAATCTAGATAAATCATTGTAGTCAATAGCGATTAGCTTTGGAAAGTGATAGCCAAAATCCTAGTGATTTTAGACAGATCGTGAGGTGAAATAGTCATCTCTTATAACTTTGAAAAACAGTCTATGTTATGTTATGAATTACTAAATATGAAGAATATAAATCAATAAGTCCCAAGCATGTAGTTCAAAAGAAAATCACTGTCGAGGAAACTTGAAATCTTAGATACAGTCTATGGTGGTATCATTATTATTTATCACTAAGTTTTGAAGTAGAACGGAGTGGCTGTATAGTGCTTCTTGGTTTTCAATTATTCTCTTATGAATATTAGTTTGAATAGCGTTCATCTTGATATCAAATATATTTGTACAATAAACACAACTACATGTTAAATAACTAAATATCTTGTAAAGCTAGTTAACACAAAGAAACCAGAACTTTTATTTACGTAATGTCCGTAAATAATGAATTTACGCAAGTTCGTTCCATAGTTCGAATAAACACAGAATATAGATATTCGGGCTCCGTAATAAATAAAAGATCTATTCAATGAAAGAGTCGAAATTCTGTAATTTTCATTTGATGTGCAATTAATTTTGTGTTCCTTATCCAAATTTTATTGGAGTTTTATTTATTTACTACAAACATGTTTACTATGAATTTAGGTAGATTTTGTGGAAATTCTCTACAATTTAGAGGTACCTAAAGATTTATCTAGTGCAATAATGAACAAGTGTGTGCAGCTCTTGAGTATACTTAATTGTTTGTTGATCATAAAGAACAATATGCTTTGAGTTGGTGATGAGCGTGTCTGACAAACAAGTTACAATAAATATTATGTGGTGGTTTTATTTCAAAAAGGAAAAATGTAATAAGTCGTATGTAAACGAAATACCTTGTTACTCTATGATAGGCTTATAAATGGAATTTAGTATTAGATGTATATTTTAAACAGAATCATACATTTTTGAACATCATGAACTGAATCACAATTTCAAACAATACGATTAGTGATCAGGTTGTTACCTAGACCAATACGTTTTATCAACCATTTACCATAAATAGTAATAATAACAATCTCAATCTCTTGTATTGGACGCTTGCCCTTCTTATGATACCAAGATAGACCTTAAGACCCGCATGGTCACGGTTCCCCACGAAAGCGCATCCTCGCGATGGGTTTGTGAGCCTTGAAAACACGAAATCCATTCCAAAAAAGCCTACATAAGCCTCCTTAGAAAAGTCTTTACCAACTAATCTGACAAGAACAACACCACCGCCACACCACGCCAGTGATTGGTATCAATTTCACAATATCGTTATTTAACTGGAGTTGGACCAGAAACCCTCAAATCATCAACCTCAAGGTTAAGGGTTTACTGCAGGACATGATGGTCGTAAACTCAGTCATTGGAGGCGCCATGACTATTTGCTGTTAAGAAATGTCACAAATGGAGATCATTTTCTGTTATCCTCGGCTGATCTTCAAGAGACTTAAATGACAACAATTCTTGACGAATGCGACATTCAAATGTAAATAATTAAGACTAACTCCTCCACAAATACATTTATTTATTCAGCTTATAAATTGCTACTATTGATCCAAATCCATTTCAACATTCTTACTCTTTTTTGACAGAAAATGTCTTCTCAATGTTGTTGTTGAACTGATGTCTTAATGTTTTCAGTATAAATGATCGTACGGGTTTAATAGTTAAATTCATGAAACAATTGATGCTAGATCACCATGGAAAACCTGGAAGCACGACACGGCTTTTTCGTCCTACTAAGGGACTTCTCAGCAGTGCGCATCCACGATCCTGCCTCGCTAGATTCGAATCCAGGACCTATAAGTTTCGCGCTTAACCACCACGTTACCTACTCAGCACAATCAGGTAGTGATCGACGTTGATGTGACACACTATTTCACCCGTTTTGTAAGAGAACATGAAAACATTTATCGGATAAAACGAAATATTATTACCAATAAGGATACATATATAGATATTCACTTGATATTCTAAATATTTTTCCTTAAAATTTATAACTGTAAGGTAATTTAAAGCTATTTCTATTGATCTCTCTTTTTAATAAGCTTTCTAGTTACCCACTTAAAACTTGACTTCTATACATCAGATTTATGAGATATTAGTTAGAATATTCCAACGACTTTGTTTGATTGTTCATTTCCGGCTTTTAATATCATACAATGAAAAGGCTTTAATTATGTTTATGGAAAAATATTTTTGGACTAATTCAGTATATATATATATTAATCACTGAGTAGTGACTAATGTCATAGTTTTCTAGTCTTTTTAAGTCCTACTAAAATTCAAATGATAACGTTGATATGCGGTTACTAATCTAAGTGAATTAATATTTTATGAGCTGTGTTGAAATGTAAGATGACTGATGGTGGTCTATAGGAATTCCTGAACACATTATTCTAGTTGGGATGTATTTATTATGTTGAGAGAACTGGTTCTCCCTAGG